TTACCAACCTCAGCACCGGTAATTGTAAGAGCGGTGGCGGTAGACAGCTGCCGCGCCTCTGTGTCTTGGGAACCGGGCCCTTTTCCCAATGGGCCACTTTTGTCTTATGTCCTGCGTCTGCAAGGGGCTGATCACTCCCAGCTTAAGGTATACGCCACGCCAGAACTACAATAATGCCAACGATACTCTAACGATGTTCATATCGTTACTTCTTTTGCGATTATTTATTCCGTAATATTTATCTCTGTCTCGTGCGAAACGCAGATCGTCCTACACGAATACGCGTTTCAATGCTCGCGGCTATTTTTTCTCTAAGCCTATCGTCGCTATTTATCAGCATCCGTCGACGTCTACGTCGATGCAAAGCCGATTGCGCTTTTCTCTTCTTTCTAACAGTTGTAGCAGACAGCACTGTGCGAAATAGCAACTGGTTCTACAAGACTGCCCACCCTTCCCCAGAAATAATGTGCATTGATAGGTAAAAAAGGATGAGAACGGAACAAGCATGTTTGGGACAAATGCACGCTTTCTTTCATTTTTGACATCGTTTCGAACGGTGGTTCTGCTCGATTGACATTAACATTGGGTTTAATTAAAAAAATCCGCTTTGAGAAACTAAAAGCTTGTTACAATTGCTTGGAATAATCGATACCTCACCTTACGCGAACCTTTATTAACCGATCGAGTTACTCTTCATCCCGTTAACATCAGCTTCTTAACTTGTAAGAACCAGATCTCTCACGAAATACGTTTCTGGCATGGCGTTTCTTCTCCTATTCGCATACCGAATACCCAGCGAGGGATCGAAAGGGACAGACACGCCGACAGTCCGATTAATACGCTTTACGATCCATCGACAGGACATACCAGCCTCGGAAAACACGGATCACTACATGTTCCAAAATCTCGAGCCGAACAAGAATTATTCCATTAGCGTGACCATGAGAAACGGAGTTGGAGAGGGACCTCCTGCGGTAACTTACGTCATGACAACTCCAGAACCGGCTGGTATGTTCCATCGTTGCACGAATTAAAGTTTCGACGAGCTTTCGAAAATACCGTGTCCAGGGAAAACGCGAGGGCTAACACGATTCGTGATATTGCAGTGAAAGACACGCAACAACCAATTTTAATTCTCGGAGGGCAGCATGTAGTTATGAAGCAGGACGCGGACATGTTGGACGATCCCAGCGTGGTTTACGAGAACACGAGCACTATCCGAGGAGTCGCGATCCACGTGGCTTCGGCGCAGCTCTTCATTTCCGATTCCTTGGGATACGTGTACAGAACGTCCATCACGAAACGAACGAAGCCCACGGTGATACTCAGTCCCAGCCAGGCAAACTTCAAGCCTCTCAGCTTATCGGTCGATTGGCTGAACCTTCATCTGTACATTCTGGGCGAGGTGAAACGCGCGACAACGGTTTGGCAGATAGCTAGATGTAATCTGGATGGAAGAGGCCTGACTGTGGCCGTGGCTGGTCTGTTAACACGACCCACGCACATCGAGGTGGACCCGTACAATGGTTACTTATTCTGGGTCACCAGGGGCGGTTTATACCGATTGGATCTGGCTGACATAAGTAACGGAGTGAAACACGTGGTACGTTTCGCGCGTGATACAC